CTTAGATGAAGTCACAGAAGCTATTGGAATCGATGAAACCCGCCTGAAATGAAGCTTCAGAGGAACAAGGCATGTTTTGGCTAACACATGTCTGTCAAACTGCAGTGGCTACGGGGAAGACACAAGTGGATTCGAAAAAGAGGGTTGCACTATCTCTGTTCAAGAAAGGAGACCATATGGAGTGCTCCAATTATTCGGGTATTACCATATTACGTCTCCCGGGAAAACTACTCAAAGCGTTAGAAAGGAGGTACCGCGGAATAACTGACTCTAAGATACAACAGCAGCGTGGCTTCATGTCAGGCCGAAGCACCTCTGATCAGATCTTCGCCTTAGGCCCGTTCGTTGAGAAATCCTGGGAGTTTACTCATCCGGAATACCTGTGCTTTGCGGATCTGAAGAAGATTGCATCCCGTGGAACAAGCTGTGGCCGTGCCTGGAAACATGAGATCGACGACCAGCTGCTGTGTCCCATCAGGTCCGCATATGGTGATAGCAGATGCTGTGTCAAAGTAAATTGCGTTGATTCAAGATCTTTCCGCGTTAGTACTGGTCTCTGCACCTCCACAGTTTGTACTGTGCTTGGATGGACAGATGAGTAGTATAAAAGTAGGAGTCATGAAGACGAGAAGGGTGATGTTTAGAGAGGACCTTGCTTTGTTCGCACCACTTGAAACTGACCTTCGGAGCGGTCTAGAAAGATTCGCAGCGAATAAATTGTCGGCACGAGTATGAACGTATCTAAAACGAAACTCTTAGTAAATTATCGTTCTCCTGCCTTTTGTTCTCTTCCGATAAACGCAGAAGCAGCTGAGCAGGTGACGAGGTTCAACTAACTCGGGATCGTGTTACTGATGATGGAAAATTTGAAAAGATAGACCGGCGGGTTGGAGCATCCAGTGGTGTTCTGAGTGAACTAGCCCGACCCATTATGACTAAAGCAGAGCTCAGTCTGAAAACTAAGCTGTCGGTATTCGAGTCCATCTTTATCCCTATGCTTACCTACGGTCATTAGTTGTGGACCATGAATGAAAGGCTTCGAACCCGGGTATTAGCTGCTGAAATGGGCTTTCTGAGACAAATCGCTAGCCTTGCGGGTATTGATATGGTCGGAAAAACAGATATCTGAGAGAGCGTAGGTGTACAACCGCAGCTTCTTCAGACTGAGAAGTTACAGATGCAATGGTTTGGGCACGTTTTGCGAATACCTCCAGAAAGGAAGGCTAAGCCACCCTTTCTTGCCCAGCCGACCAGTAGAAGACCCCGGGGACGGCGAAGAATAACTTGGTAATTGTAAGTAATACTAGTGCTTCACAACCTGGCTATCTTCTGATGAAGTTGAAACGCTAGTAAAGTATCGACAATGCTGGAAACATTATCTGACGTCTCTGCCTCCGCGATCCGAAAGGATTAGCTGCCAACGAAACTAACCGTTTGAAGAAATATCCGAACAGATCATGTCCGCTGGGAAAGTGCAACACGAAATCACACCTGGCGCGCTGTGCAGTAGGTTCGTGTTCGGCTCAACAATGTCAGTCTCGTAACTTTGCTAGTGCTTTCATTAGCACAAGTAACGGGGCCGACGAGTATATTTTCTAGGTATGGAATTCGTTGCACATCACCACCGTCGGGATCGCCTGGCAGGACACGTAAATATTACTTAGAATTGTTACTGACATTTCAATACTAACTTATACTGACTTCTACTGAGATCAGCTTATAGTGATTCGTTCTGTTTTGTACATTCACTTTCTCCCTAATCTAGTGATGCGTTTCAGTTGTACTCATTATCACTATTACACTGCTCGAACTGCTGAAAAGAATGTAGCTATTCTCTGCTATGGCAGTGTGCGTGGCTTAACTTGATATGTGATAATGGCGTTACAGAAGATATATCTGAGTGACTGACTATTAACTGCAAAGTCATCTAAGAGACGTGCTTTCTCCTTCGCTATTCATAGTGAATACTGGTACAGTGCGTAAGAGCGTAAGAGGTCGGTTTAAAACGTCGGAGGTACCGGGTTCGACGCCGGCGGACGGCAGTCTGTTTTAACCACGAATTCCCTTGATTAAGGAATTTATCACATCCTTCAGTCGGTAGAACATCGAACACAGAACCAAGACGTTCGGAGTTCGAATCCCGGTCGAGTTTCGGAGCCTTTCTTTCTTTCGTGAACGATGAGTACCATTCTGTGAAAAAGGAAACAGGAGACTACCCAGTATCTTCTAACATTGCGGCTGATGGCATGGAAATGGAGACCAGTGCCCCACCATTAACTTTATGAAAAGAAGGGCACCAGAATCACCCAATCGTTAAAGTTTAAGGAAATGACATTTCAACAGTTACAAATTTTCTTTACTGCTCTTCAACGAAGCTACTGAATTTTTTCTTCAAAACACTGAAACCGTGAGCAAAATATTGGGTCTCATTCCAGGAGAGAAGCGCAGTTCAAGATGTCCGGCTATATATTCTGGTGACTCGGTGCATGCAGACGATACTGTCCCGATGAGGAAATCGGACTTCGCTAACTGACAGTGGGTAATGGTGCCGCAAGTCGGTCTTCTTAATGTGCAGAAGTCACAAGCTGAGAAACTCATCAGGCATAACAGATCCACGTGTGCAACAGGGAGGTTGATATATTTCAGTATCCCGGTCTCATTACCCCCAGCGATGGTATCAGACAGTTACCGCTAAGTATGGGAATATACACTGCATTGAGCGCTTTCGGCACCCGATGCAACAAGGACTAATGAAGAAACATTCTTTCTCACAAAAAATTGGAGAGTACCTGGCCTCAATCAGGATACTCCGATTAGACAACATTCAGATAACCATTTTAACGAAAGATCAAGAACGACGACTGAACGGAGTACAGTGGCGCTAGCCTCTACGCACATGGAAGGTTAGCTTGTTAAACCGTATGAGGAAAGATTTTATTCTTTTCTGCAAGCAAGTGCATTCGATATGATTAAATATTATGAAAAGGAAATAAGGCCAATGTGAAAAACTGATATAGCACAAG